CCGAATTGATTGACAGCTGCGCGCATTAACATGTTCCGGTAGTCGCGTGTATGTCAACAAGACCAGACAGACATACGCAAAGCAACCGGGAATAAAAGGTCTGTTCTGTTCGCTAGGATCAGCAATCATCATCAAATGTGATTAAGAGTGAGTTTCACATGTTTAAAGTGTTTTAAAACAGAGTATGTGTGTAATTAATTACAGCGTTTTACTTCAGCTTTACTTCATCAGCACAGCCGCGTGTCAGAACAATTATAAAAGAAGACGCTTCAATCCCGGTTTGTGGAAGTTAAATCAGGTTTATTTTGTACATTAGCATAACAGATATCCACACTTGAGGTTAGCCTTAACTAAGCTAAGCGCGCTCTGTCTGTCTGCCTGCCTGCGTGTGTGTGTATCATTTGCGGTGTGTGTGTGTGTGTGTGTGTGTGTGTGTGTGTGTGCGTGTGCGTGTGTGTGTGTGTGTGTGTGTGTTTGTTTGTTTGTGTGTGTGTGTTTGCGCGCGCGCGATATTGTGACTCATCAATGCAACTTCACAATACTGATTAGTAAAGGTTAGTTCTTACTGTAGTATCTCACAGACGCTACGTGAGACCTTCTTCCTTTAAATCTGTCTGTTGTCTGACGCAGCTGAGGGAGGAGGCATGTAGAAACAGTGGGCGGGAAAGAAAAAGCTTAAAGGCGCAGTACGACAAAACCACCCCCTGCTGGAAATCAGTATAAGACAGCATCTTGTAAAAGGTATAATGAAAAATCTGATGGGTATTTTGATCTGAAACTTTATATACACATTCTAGAGACGCAAAAGACTTATATTAAATCTGAAAAAAGGGGTAACCTAGGTGCCCTTAAAAAACAATGTTCCTCATAGAGAGATAGGAAGACATTTCACTTTCAACAATGCATAGCATTATTAGAAGATTCAAGGAATCTGGAGGAATATCAGTGAGTAAAGGACAGGAGCGTAAGTCTAAGCTGAACAACCATGATCTCCAAACCCTCAGGCGGCACTGCATCAAGAATCCTCATTCATCTATAAGTGATATCCCCACATGGGTTCAGAACTACTTTGGCATACCTTTGTGAAGTAACAATACATAGTTAAATTCACAAAAGCCAGTTAAAACTGTACTGTGCCAAAAGGAAGCCCTATGTTAACAGTGTCCAAAAGTGCGGTTGACTTCTCTGGAATCTGAGGCATGAGGAACATCCCACAGTGAAAACTTGTACTGTTGTCAGATGAATCAGTATTTCAGGTGTTTTTTGAAGAAATTTACACTGTGCTTTGGACCAAAGAAAATGATCATCCAGACTGTTTCGCCAGCAACATGTCCAAAAGCAAGGGTTTGTCATGGTCAAGTGCCCATGCTGGCACCAATTGTGCTTAAAAGTACAGATTTTGGAGCACAATATGCTGCTTTCTTTTCCAGAGATGCCCATGCATATTTTAACAAGACAATGCAAAACCACATTCTGCACACATTACAAACTCCTGGCTGTGGAGGAAGAGGATACAGGTACTTGACTGGCCTGCCTGCAGTCCCAACCTGTCTCCACAAGAGAATGTGTGGCCCATTTTGAAGCGCAAAATGCGGCAAGGAAGACCCTGTATTTTTGCCCACCTTAAGACTTGTTTTCAGGAAGAATGGGGAAAAAATTACTCCTGAAACTCCTTCATCACTTGGTGTCTTCAGTCCCTAAACATCTCTTAAGTGTTGCAAAAAGAAATGGGAATATTACAAAGTGGTAAATGCTTTACTGTTTCAACTTTTTTTTTTGATGTGTTGCAAGAACCAAAATTGGAAAACATGCTTATTTTAATAAAAAACAAACAAACAAACAATAAAAAATCACAAGAAACACAATGTTTATTGCATTGTCTGAAATACAAGTCAAAGTGAACTTAGAAAACATCTCAATCTTTTTTTATTTGCATTTTCCATAATGTCCCAACCTTTTCTGATTTGGCATTGTAGTATTCATACAACATAGTAAAGTTTATCATTTGTGTGTATTTGCACCATTCACCAAGTTTTTAGATGGGTAGACTTGGTATCTTATAAAGCAGGGGTGTCCAGACTTGGTCCTGGAGGGCCGGCGTCCTGCAGATTTTACCTCCAACTTGCTTCAACACACCTGCAAGGATGTTTCTAGAATGCCTAGAAAGAGCTTGATTAGCTACCCTAGGTGTATCTGATTGTGGTTGGAACTAAACTCCGGGAGTTTAGTTCCAAGCCCTCCAGGACTGAGTCAGGACATGTTAAAAAGCATGATGTCATTTTAGGTTGGTTCAAATATTATTAAAATAGCATAATTTAAATACTGCTAATACAATTATGAGCTGTATAATATATATATATATATATATATATATATATGATTATTCAAAACATAAAGAATTGTAATTTTTAAAGACAATCATTTTAAGTTGGTCAACAAAAATACAACACCCTTTAAATAAAAGCATGCAGATATTAGTTGCATAATATGTATTGTTCATTCAAAAAGTCGTCAAAATACAAAAACAATAATTAAATCTATTCAAATAATATTCATTGTGTTATAATATAATGGTGTATTTTGACAGTAAACAGTACAGCAAAAATTGTTTTAAAAGGTACCTCCTAAAAGGTACCTAAATAGTCCACATTACACTTTATGTACAGTATTATCAATATATAGTTATGCTTTAATTACGCACATATTGTGTTCATTCAATGACTATTTGCGATTCTACAGTGAGAATTAGCATTTTAGATGTCAATGCATGTAACTTATGATTGGTTGGTTAATGTATTAAAACAAGAATTTTGAGATTTTTAACTATGCGTTATACATCACAATGTATTTTGGCCATTCAACGAGCATAGTGACATTTTAAATATGCAAACTAGAGGTGTCCAAACACGATCCTGGAGGGACAGTGTCCTGCAGATTTTACTTTTTACAGAACTTGCTTCAACACACCTGCAGGATGTTTCTAGAAAGCCTAGTAAAGCTGCAGTCACACTAGAGTTTGTGTGTGCGAAATTCTGTCGTACGACGCTGCGAAAAGGGGCGGGATTAAACAATTAGACATTAAAAAAGCGAGCGATTGCTCATGTTTTAAATTTCTGTCCAGAGTGGTCATGTTTTGATCCTCGATTCATCTCACGCAGTCAAGTGATGCAATTTCGCAGGTCAGAGTTCACCAAGCTTGAACTTTGCACCGCAGCGACCTGCAAAACTTACGCATTTCGGTCGTAAGTATGAATGGAAATCTATGGAAGGAAAAGCTCAGTGTGACCGCAGCTTCAGAGCTTGATTAACTAGCCCAGGTGTGTTTGATTGGGGTTGGAACTAAACTTTGCTGGACACCGGCCCTCCAGGACCGAGATTGGACATGCCTGATGTAAGCTCAAAGCATGAGACTTTAAATAAGTTGCTATATTAATATAATTTGAAACTATGAAAATAACAAGTTTTGTTGACTATATAACAGTTTAGAAGTATTTCAGATACTGAAGTTATACTTGTGTGCTTTATATTGGCTATATTTTTCCTAAAGCACACCACAGATATGTGCACTGACATTAAACCATGCAAATGTCATCGCATGTAGGCTATGTGACGTACATAAACAAACACAGCATGTGTGTGGGGAAAAAAATAAAAGCAGCATCCCATAGTTTGAGGGCCTTTTGACTAACATCCTGGAGAGAAGCACAGTGTGGACACATGGACAGACCATCTGTCCACACACAATCTCACACATGCGTAGGTCATGGCAAAGCATGAATCTGGGAGCAAACTCTGCATTATCCATCATACAATAGATGCATCTTCAGATCCAAATACCACAAAAATAGACCATGATATCTGTGACCTTGGGATTGTGATCATGCAATGGCTACATTTTATTAAAGCAGTTAAAAATGGAGAGACAAGGACATGTGAAGGCATCGTTATACACACACACTGGCTTTATGGAAAAACACCACCAAGATCATAATGCTTTAGCTTGGCAGTGATTGGCAGATGCGATTAGCTCAGCATTGTTGCCATACAGTCAGACTTTGGTCGTGTTCTCTTTCCTCCCCACCCTTGCTTTTTTTCTTTTCTTTCTCCTTTTTTTTTTTAAAAAGTTGATCCCAAAGTTTAGAGTCTTGGTGGATTATCCCCTCACAAGGCCACTGACCCTTCATGTGACCCCACTTTAAGAGAGTTTGGATTTTGCTTTAGCACAGCGGCTGCAGGGTTATATTTAAAAACAGCTTATAAATAATTGATTGTGATTTACTGAGCTCTTATGATGGAATAGCATGAGTGTATATATGACTAGCTTTGTACTGTAGTTGACACTGCGCATGCGCAAGGTTTAATGAGACAAGCGCAATCAAAACATGAAACTTATTCATAAATGGATGAGATTCAAAGCGTTAATTGGTGTTAATTCGTATTTTTAACACACAAATGAGTGTTTAATATTCGATTATACAGATGTAACTGATTCATGACCTTTTTCAGATGTTTAATCTTGTTCAATCAGCTGCTGAGGTAACCTGGAAGCGAGCTCTCGCACTCACCTGATAACTGTTACTTTTCTCATCGCTGGTTAGGTTTTCATCGAGTTTTCACGGTCGTTTCTGATTAACTATATGAGGATTTTACAGAAATCATTTTGAGATTTGCGTTTATCTGGCGCTCATTTATACAAACTGTACAATTGTCTGAAGCTAGACGAAAAAAAACTATATTTTAAATAAGTATTGAGCTTTCTATGCCCTCTGGTGGCGTCGTGTAAACTGTCATTACCAAGCAACATAATTGCCGCCCGATGGTGCGATGCGCGCGACAACGAGCGCTGTGAAGTGCGCGTGTGCGTGTCTCTTTAAGAAACACCCCTGTTGCATGAGAGTCTGGTGGTTTTCCACTCTCTCCGTTATTACATGCGCTCCCATATAAGACACAAGTCGGGGGGGAGAGGCGGAAAGATTATTTGCCTTGCTTTGTAGCCTCACCACAAGAAGACAAAAGAACAAGAGACGGACTTGAGCAATAAACTGCATTTTCAGGTGAGTGACACCTTGCATCCTTCAAGTCAGCGGTGACTGATGTGAATGTTTAAGCTTATATGTATTGTGTGTACATTTTATTTATATTTTAGGCGGATACCTGGTCATTTCTTTTTCTAAAATGCACACAAACACACACACACTATCATTCTTGCTTTCATCACAGCACACCTTTATTGTCTACCACTATTAAACAAATGTATTTATTTTGTGTCTACTAACTATACATGCTTTAAATAATAAACAAATAAATGATATTGGCTATGTAAACATGTCATTTAACAAATGCATTTCTTGTATCAAAATCTTGCTGCGCATAAGTGTGCTCTCAGGCTTTTTGCATTAAATATTAAACGCAATCAATTTATTTCAGAAGCACCATAATTAAAGAGAATTTCAAAGTGGTTAACAGCTCCAAAACAGCTCATCTTACTGGCTTGAACGGGTCAATAAAATGTAGGTTAATGTGAATTTATCTTGCACGGTGCGTCCGTGTAAACACAGTGACACCGCTGGAGACAGACCTGTCATGTGGGCTCATGTAACACCGGCACGCGCGCGCGCACACAATGTAGGTTATTGGGACACAGCCAAGATTTGAACTTCTTATTATGCATGTATTGTGTGGTAGATGTCAAAACAGATGGAAATGCATTAGAGATGTGAAAGGTTTACAAATGCGTGAGAGAGCAGGATATGTGAGGCGTGTCCGCGCGCGCGCTGCCTTTCATTGTGGCTCGTGCAAGGTGTTGTTCGTCTATCTTCTGAAACTAGTTTAGGGGCTTGTATAATTCATTCCGTGGCTGGGTTTCCAAATTAAACACGCATCCAAATGTAATTTCATCAGGAGTGCTTGCTGGAGAATTAGGGCAGCAGAATATTTTATTTTCAGCTTTAATTTGGACTCCAGACAGATTTAGTGAATGCACGAGATGACATTGCAAAAACAGTGTCTAACATTGCACCTTGGTACATTTTTTTTTTTTTTTTTAGCAAAATGCTGTAATATCATTGCAATAATTGATTTATGGTGACAAAGTGGCACGGTGGTTAGCACTGTTGCCTTACGGCAACAAGGTTGCTGGTTTGAGTCCTGGCTGGGCCAGTTGGCATTTCTGTGTGGAGTTTGCATGTTCTCCTTGTGTTGGTGTGGGTTTCCTCTGGGTGCTCCGGTTTCCAGCATAGTCCAAACACATGCGGTAAAGATGAACTAAATAAGCTAAATTGGCCGTATGTGTGTCAATGAGTGTGTATGGATGTTTCCCAGTGCTGGGTTGCAGCTGGAAGGGCCTCCGCTGTGTAAAACATATGTTGGATAAGTTGGTGGTTCATTCCACTGCGGTGACCCCTGATAAATAAAGAGACCAAGCTGTAGGAAAATGAACGAATGAATGTTTTGGATGCAAAATGGACATAAACATGCCTGAAAACATGGTAATATTTCTTATTTTATGAAAATATCCGGCTGTTGAAGCTAAAAAGTAAACTAAATACGACACTTTTAAATGAACGCTCCATTTATTTTGGTAAATAGTCTAATTTTACAACTTCCTTATAGTTAAAAAGTTTAGTTTTACCAAGCAGAAACAAGTTTTTTGAGCAAGGTGCTAATGGTCTAATCCGATTCAATGATCTATGCTAAGCTAAGCTAAAAGTGCTCACACTAGACCCAAAGATCAGCTGAATGGACACAAAAAATGGTAAAAGTCAACTTATTAACTCTGAGTAAGTTGTAAAATTGGCCTATTTAAAAAAAAAAGGAGAGTGAACGAATAAATAATTGATTTATTGTCGTACGTTTTCTGCTTACGACTGACTGACGAGACAACATTGAAATAACATTACAGTGTCTGACTTTCATTATAAATGATGCCTGTATATAAGTGTGGTTTATTTATAAACTAATTTCGAGAGGACCACATGCTTATGATTAAACACGGATGGTACCGCATCAGCTCCGTATATAGGACCAATCAGATGAATACTGACACACTATAATAACCAGAACTTTCCACTCCATGTCCTCTTTGTCTTGAAGAATCCCCCCTTCCACCCCAACTCCTTCCCTTCTATGATAGGGCGGCACGGCGGCCCAGTGGTTAGCACTGTTGCCTCACAGCAAGAACGCCACTGGTTCGGCCCCTCACTAGGTCGGCCGGCGTTTCTGTGCAGAGTTTGCATGTTCTCCCTGTTCGCATGGGGTTTCAGAGTTTCCTCCCACTGTCTAAAGACATACACAATAAGTAAATTAACAATTCCAAAAGGGCATCTTAAGACAACTCCTAGCCAGATATATCTCTGCTTTTGGGACTTATGGGAATTGTCGGCTTGACAAATTTTAATTGGATGAACATAATTTTAGTTTTATGCCTCACCCAGAATATAAATATACGTATAAATACATTTAGATCATTTACTTTAATCTGTACTACTGGAATGGGAAGAGAATTTTAACCAGCACAACAAAACATATTTCTGAAGACAATCACCTACTGAACCTTTAACCGAACGAATACAATGGAAGTCAAAGGCTGTTTTTTTAAGCATTCTTTAGTATATCTTCTTTTGTGTTCACCAGAAAAAAAGAAACTCAAACAGGTTTGGAACAACTGAAGGGTGATTAAATGATTGCAGGATTTTCAGTTTTGAGTCAACTAAACTTTGAAGTTTGGGGATTTTGTCCGTGTATTTTTTATTTTTTTTTAATTCTCAAAGTATCTTGAACTTTATGAATCCTCAATGAAAACAGTTTCAGATGAAAAAAAATCTTCTTTAATGTCCTACTAAAAAAATAGACACCTACACCTTGGATAAATAAACAGCAAACTTTCATTTTTGGTTGAACTATTCCTTTAATATTGTTTCATATTTGATGGTTTGTGTAATTAATAACACATTCAGAGCAAATCTGTTTAATTTATAACACATTGAGAGCTTTCAAACACAACTGAGTATCCAGAAGGTTAAGCCGGATCTGTCTGTTGTTGTGGCCTTCTGATATGTTGTTTTTCCCTCTCTGCTTTTGTCATTGATTGATTAAACATGCATTTTTAGATAGCTTTTGTTGAGCTATTACATGAAGACTAATGAGAGGTCTGGCAAAACTGGGGTCAAGATTGAAAACGGGTGATGGTGGTTGAGATACACTGAGGCTGCTTTATTTCTGTTCCCATGGCCAAACCAACACTGGCACACAAAGGACATCTGACTATATGAGTTTGGCTCCCTGAATCAGCTTTATCTCTTCACTCTGGTATAAACTGGACTCAGACAAGCCAGTTGTTGAGGCTTAAAGGGTAATAGTTACACAGTAATACTGATTATGTACTAACATATATAGGTAATAATGAAACAATTCACCTCAAAATGAAAAGGACCTCACCATTTACTCTCTCTCATGAGGTTTTAAATCTTAAATTCTACATTCTGAAGAGGCAATAGAAAACATGATGTGCTACTTATATAGAGGAATTGTTAGTGCTCACAGTGTTTAAAGGGGACCTATTATGCCTATTTTTAAAATATATAAAATAAGTCTCCGTTGTCCCTAGAGTGTGTATGTGAAGTTCAGCTCAAAATACAACACAGATAATGTTTTATAACTCTCTGAAACTGACCATTTTATGCTTTTATCCAAATTGTGCTGTTTTGGTCACTGTCGCTTTAAATTCAAATGAGATTGTGTGCCCAGCCCACTTTTCAAAAGAGGGCGGAGATACAAACACATATGTGTCAGCATAGTGATTTATTTTTTAATGAATTTTTATTTTATATTTCTACAGTCTTAATCAAACATTTGCCCAAATGTTTAACATTTCAAGAGTTCACACTTAGCTGATGATTGATAATAAGGCTAGTTTGGCGTGCTGTCCCGGGAGAGAGGCCTGAGCTTATAAGATCCTCGAGCTCTGGGCTCCCTCCCGTTGCAAGGCGAGAGGGGAGTTTGAGCTCAGGTAGATCTCGATGACTCCCCCTCTTGCTTGTTGTAGCTAAGTGTCAGATATGGATGCTTAAAGGTGTACTCAGAGTTTAGCTAAAGTATTTGGATTAATTGTTTAGAGTGCTTGTTTTTGAACTTTGGGAGGAAACCGGAGGAACCGGGGAAAACCCACGCGACTACAGGGAGAACAAGCAAACTCCGCACAGGAATTAAACCAGGGGCATTTTTGCTGTGAGGCAACAGCGCTAATCGCTGGCCACCGTGACGCCCGTTTGAAAGGAGGGAAAGTAGGGTTGGGTGGGGGGGGTTTCTTCAAGACGAAGATATTGAGATGAGAAAAGTCTGGTTATTTATAGTGAGGTAAGGATCGTCTGATAGGATAATCAGTCGTTAGCTAAAGTTAACAGCTGTGAACAATCATAAGTATGTGATCCTCTCGAAATTTGTTTATAAATAAACTTCAAAAAGTGAGAAAAATACTCAAATATGAAAGAGTGTTTATTAAATTGTATACTTTAAAATGTCAAAAAGAGACCTTTTCATGTGGTCAGTATTATCTTTTTAAATATATTGTGATTTATTGGGATTTTTTGTCTTTTTTTTAAATATTTCCCAAAAGATGTTTAACAGAGCCAGGATTTTTTTTACAGTATTTTCTATAATATTTTATTTCTGGAGAAAGTCTTATTGGTTTTATTCCAGCTAGAATAAAAGCAGTTTAAAAAAATTGTATTATCGTGATATGAGCTCAGCTAATGTGTGCAACAGCAATAGTCAGTTGATAGTTGATAGTTAATAAAGATAAAGAATGAAGATTATCGTTGGTCTGGAGCCACAGTTCAGAACACATTGGGTCACTGCAAACTTTAACCATAGTGAAAGTCTAACAGTTGTTTATTAGGCGTGTCTGAGCATTTCTAGTAAGATTAAGCCAATCTGGCACAAAAAAAAATCATTTATTCATTGCGCTTTGGCTTAGTCCCTCATTTATGAGTGGTCACCACAGCGTAATGAACCGCCAATTATTCTGGCATACGTTTTATGCAGCTGACGCCCTTCC